TATATGTATTTTAAGACTGCTGAAGACAAGCACATTGCCTGAAAATCACCCATACTGCCAGTAGGGGGCAACAAAGTTAAAAGTTCTACTCAAATGAAGCTCATACTGGAAAGAAAGCTGAGGAAATTGTATTGAGATGTCTGTTTGTGTGTGACTGCTGCGATAGGTAATTAGCAAAATTCATCAAATACAAGTTTTCAAAACCTTTTGTTCCACATGAAATTTATCTCAGTATACCACTATAGGACTTTCCTTACCACATGTCTGTTGCTGTGCTTATTGGCTCATAATTCAGAATCTCAGGAGCTGTGAAGACGAACAGACAGTTGTTTAGAATCACCCCAGTGTTCGATTCTTGTAAGGTGGTAGCAGCAAGGCTGAGCAACAACTCACCAACATACTCTGGGGTTCCCATAATCTCTCTTAGTTCTTGGTGGCTGCTGACCATCCTGGACAGACCAAAGTCCACAATCTTAATGTCACCCAGAGGAGAAGTGCTCGTCAGCAGGATGTTCTGAGGCTGACAGGACAGCACACGTGTTATCGTTAGACAGCTTTTTAAACTGTGTTAACTTGTGTGTGTTTCATGGAGTCCACTGGCTGACCTTCAAAGCATTTTACTACAGAGTGAGAACTGAGTAGCACTTCAAGCACTTCCTATCACATGCACAGTTATATTACCTAATAATTATGTGTTTGAACTGTGTTGTGGGATAACCCACGCAAACCTTAGCCTGTGCAAATGTTGCCCATCACTTTCACACAGGAAATACTCAATTTGTGCTTTAAACTGATTTCACTGGGGCAGATGTCATTCAAAATACAGATGTTTCCCTCTGCCTCCACGTGAGATAGAAGTTCAGTTGTTGTTAGACTCATATAGACTTTTTGTGTCATGGTGATGTGTACACAAAGAATGTATCAGGGATTCGTTTACAAGATCGAAAATGTATCAACTACACAAGTGACACAAAGTAAAGGAGACGGTGGAGAGTCACGAGTGCGTCCACAAACCTTTAGGTCAAGATGAACTACATTGTTCTGGTGGAGGAAGGCCACTCCCTCCAGGATCTGTCTCATGAGCCTCTTCACATCTTCCTCACTGAAGGCCTCATCCTCTTGGTCTGACACACACTGATTGAAAATTTCTCCTCCAGCCGCACTGCAACAGAAGACACATGACGTGGGACAGATCAGTTGCAAATCTGTTGACTGGCCCTCTGTAATGTGTCAGTGTCAAAGTATCTTACACCATTCAGGCCTGCAGACCCTCAAACATTTCAATGTGTAATTCTGGGGTTGGCTGTAGGAGGGAACTGCAGCAACCCAAACTACAGACCGTATGCTTGTTTCATCCATAATTTGACCGAAATGAATATGAAGCTTTTCCTACGTGATTACTTTGTATGGTGAATCCCACAAGACCCAGCAGAAATAACCCCCTCTCTGACCTGTCTGTGTTCTGACTTGTTGGAGGTGGAGGCAGAAATAGCACATCAAATCCAAATATAGCAAACTAATTATGAGCTTGAATGGGGCCATTTACACTGTTGGTGATAACTTGTTATTTTATTCAGTCGCACACAAATAAAAAGGGTTGTAATCAAAATACAAACAGTCAAACTTACTGAACCTCTACATCTAACTTTAACTTCTTCTGACCAGATGTAAACTCAATAAACTCGGTTCAAAATATAAAGTGAGGGCAGTCAGGAATAGACAACGGGTCCCCTTAGGGTGCTGGTGAATTAGGCTTTATCTCAGAGGAAGGCAGAGAGGAGAAGGAAGAGGTTTGTGTGACTGCGTTTTTGGTTTGCAGGTTGGGAAGAAAAGTCTGGGTTAGAACTGTTGAGTCCTAATCAAAGCCAAATGTCACAGTTCCTGACAGGAAACCCATTCTGAACACTGACCAAGGTGTGAGGCACTACTGAAGCCCAGCTACAGTATAACTACGCACTTCACACATTGAGATCCAGGACCTGAGTGAAGGGTTAAGTCAAACATTTCCAGAAGAGCAATTCTGGTTTTTCATTTGTAAATTCCCAAACTTCAACCTGACCAACAGATTCCAGTCTCCAAGACCAGTCTACTTTTCCTGGACCATTTTTAAAAAAAAACACTGGATATCATAAAGCTTCAAGTTTAAAAGGTCTGCTCATGACACTGAAAAACATGTTTTTTTATTTATGAATGCTACAAATCTCACCCCATTAACACTGTTTCTAAGGTTGTGATACATTGTTGCCAGCCCTGACCTCTCGTCCTCTCTAAGTGTGTGCCAAGAGTGCTGGCAGTGGTCTCTCTGTCATTTTTACAATAAACAGTATAAAAGATGGACATATGGGTATTTAGGCACTTGTGCATTGGCTTTTTTTTTTTTTAAATAAATCAGCCAGGTAGCTAGGTCCATCAGCTACTGTGTATTATTTTCACACTGAGACATGCATACAGACAGACAGACGAGCACAAATACACCGTCCATGCTTGGCAATGGTGGGAAAACATCTAGAGGTGTGGTCATACCAAATGTGTTTTTGTCTCAAGAACAGTACATAAGCTAGTTTTGTTTTTTACCCTTTTCCCTCCATCATGGCATCATGCTGAGTGCAACAGAAAAATGGCATCAGCTTAAAGAAAGAATGAATAAATCTTACACTTCCTAAGAAAACAGCATGCTTTGAAGCCAGACTTGTGCTTTCCAGTGGAGCACCATCAGCATTGTCTGCCCATCTGCAAATATACAGACAGGGGAGGTGGTGGCTCATCCATTTACTGAAATCAACAGCAGACGGAGTTTCAAGTTTCAGCCCATCAAAGCAGCTGCACCATCACCTTCAAAGCCAGTAAACAGTATCTGCAGATGGTAAACGGACTGGTTCATAAGTAGCACTTTTCTACTCTGCCTGGGCACTCAAAGCACTTATGCAACTTGTCCTCATTCACACAGCGAATGGTTAGAAAAGGCACTTGCTGGGTACGGTTAGGGTTAGTAAGTAAGTGCCTTCGTTTTAACATTTGCACACGCTGATACTCTGACAGATGCATCGGAGGGCAATTTGGTGTTACCATGACTGGAACAGCCAGGTATCAAACCACCAACTTTCCAATTAGTTTATGACCTACTACACCTGAGCTACAGCAATCCCATGCAGAGAAGTTCCCTTTAACTTCAACTGCAGGATTTCACTGACAGCAGCTCCTTTGCATAACAGAAGGTGAACTAAGAAGTTGCAAACTCACTTTTGTACAGAATTCTGAGGTAGGTGATCAGGCAGGTGTCTGGCACTCAGTAGGTGTGTCTCTGGGGTTTGTAAGGTGATTCTCTGTATATTTTTCATTTCTCTTTTATGTAGTTAACGGCCTTTTTCATAATGATTACATGGAACAAATGGTTGCATAATGAATGAATGTTTGTGCTACAGACCATTTCAAGATGTGATACTAAAAACTGAGACAAAAAAATAATTTAGCAAAGGGGCACACCATGGGTATTAAAAATGTGACAAATCTATACAAAAAATAACGTCAGTGACACTATTGTTGTTGTTTCATCTAGTGTGGGGAAAATACATATGTGTCAGATGTTTAAAGATTCTTTGATGTAATACAAAGAAACAAAAGAACCAAAACAACATTTTAGGTTGTCTGAGGTAGTGCTGTGCTTCTGCTGATCTGGCTGCATATTTCATTGCTATATATTTCAAGGGGCCATCACAGTGTTTGAGGCGGTGGTGTTGTTTGACCTGCTGCCCTCTGATCAGCGCCTCAGGTCAATCAGATCCCACACCTCCAGACTCCTTGTTTGTATACATATTTCTGCTGTTTGTTATTTATTCCTACTGTCTTACGATTTATATTTTATTCCCACAGTTGGTGTGGAGCACCCACAATGTCACTGTTCATTTAAAATGACAATAAAGCCCTATTCAGTTTTATTCTACCTAGCTGCTGGTAGACTTTTCTCAGCTTAAATCTGGAAATTTAGAAGAAACATAAGACTTTGTAGACACAAATAATGATGTTTTCCTGTTTCATTAACTGTTTACTACAGTTACAAATGGCCAGTCCTGATAAAGTTTGCTTCCTAGCGCCATTATTATTTTATTAGCCATAGCTGCTAGCTCCTACCCTTGTGTCACGTCACTATTGGGTAATTTCTAATACGTAAAGGGCTAATTTTAACTGTGTGTTGGCTGATATTAATCATGATTAATAATTGTGATCAACTGTTTAATACTATAATCTTGTTAAAGTTGTGCGTCATATTTATACTGTTGCAAATTAATGTGTAATCCAAAAGTCATTCTTAGTATTGAATGAGTATCGCATTTTTTGGTTTATGAATCAAACATGGATAACGCAGAGCCTACATAATGGGCACGCAGTGGAGAAACTCTAATATCCGTTTCAGCTCCACAACCACAAGGACATATATAAGATTTTTAATTATTTAATTATTTTAATTATTTCTCCCCCAGTTTGAATCACAAAACCCCACAGATTTCACTTAAGTGACAAAGGCCAATAGCCCACTGTTTTATGAAGGCAGTGATGCAGCTTAAACATCAGTGTCTTCATAAATAACTTTGTGCAGAAAGCAGTGTGTGACTGGAGAAAGTGCCAGAAAAAAATAGAGCACTGGAAATGAAAAATTAACGATTAATAACTAGGCCAAAGCAGAGGGAATGTTCAGTGTTAATCTGTTGGCCACACACCTGGTTAACAACTGCAGGTGCATTCAAAAGTTTGAGAGAAACCTCATCTCTCAGAGGATCAGACATATGAATGCAGTGTGGTGCCACACACACTGCTCTGCTGTGAGAAGTCTGATACGCCAGACTTAATACACTGCAGGTGTATCCAGGTCATTTGACCCTGGAGGACAATGAAGAACACTTTCTACTAAAAGTATCATTCACCCAATTAGACTCCAACATGCATACAGTGTATTTATCCATACCATAGCACTTTTATCTGACACACACACACACACACACACACACACACACACACACACACACACACACACACACACACACACAAGGGGCAGCTCAGGATTTAGTATCAGTATCATCCCATAATGGGCCCATGAGAATGGAAAGTTCTTTGAGTGATCTAACAGTTTTCCACTTTATGTACAAAGATGCAGTTAGTTCACTTCAATAATCACCTGCAGCGAAAGCAAGTGGCTCAAAAGTGAACACATGCAGGGGAGAGCGAGGGAGCCAGTGATGTCCTAAGAAAAATAATACAGTGTAAGAGGAGGTTTTACAGGTGTTTGTGTATGAGGACAAAATGGAAGATAAAATAAATAACAAGAGGCTGAAGAAGAAAACAATACGATTTTCAATAAGGGCCACTTTAGCTCAGGAGGTGCAGTAATTAGAAGGGTGGTGGTTCGATCCCTAGTTACTCCATCCTTGGGCAGTGAAACCCAAATGCTGCTCTGATGCATGTGTGTAGAGTAGATATAAAATCAAACCTGTAAACCTGAAGTCTGTGTTCAACAGCTGACCTGTTCGATGAGTAGAAGAACACAAAACATTACTTACTACGCAGAAACCTGCTCTAAACATGCAGACGAACGACTCTTTCATGGCATGCATTTTTAATTTGGGCCGATTGGGACCTGATGAATGTGAAAACAAAGGTTTGTCTTTTTACTTGATGTAGTTTCTGAGGAGAGGATATCAGCAAAGTTTAGTATTGTGGTCTAGACCAGCGGTCCCCAACCCCCGGGCCTCGGACCGGTACCGTCCCGAGAGTCGTTTGGTACCGGGCCGCGAGAGTTTAGGTTCAGGTGTGAAATGTCTGGTTTTCAGGGTTTTTATTGGTTTTCAGCGTTATTTTGTTATCGTTTTTATCGTTACCTCGGTTTTCCTGGGTCTTTTCACGTGTGTTATGAATAAATCTTTTTTTTGGTACCGGTACTGGTTTTATTTTGTTGTATTTATCCACGACACCTTAAAGGCCGGTCCATGAAAATATTGTCGGGCATAAACTGGTCCGTGGCGCAAAAAAGTTTGGGGACCGCTGGTCTAGACAACCCAAAACGGGATGTCCACATAAAAATAAATAAATAAATAAAATAAAATAAATACACATCCATGCAAAACATGTGAGTCGCAAAACTGACACTGTGCCTCTCGTGTATAGCTTTAG